CGCCACAAGCGCTCTGCTGCACAAGGTACTGTGTGTAAAATGTGGGACACTGTGTTTTTGACTATCGATATGAGAGGACATTTGGTTGCCTTGTATGTGGAGCCAACGGTTAACCCGGAGGGTCCACCTCCATAAACTACAGCATTAAATAGAGCTGAGGTGTGTAATTTAAGATGGTGGAGTGTGTGAAGTCGCGTGCGTCAGTTGGCATGATTCCTACTGCAAGCAGCAATTTTAAAAATCTGTGTATCTTTCACATCTTCTTTGTTGGGTGAAAACCTCAACTTTTGCAGACTAACTTTTTCTTTTACGATCTATAGTTTAGAAGTTGCAAGCTGAGAAAAGTTGAGGAAGACCATTTACTCACTGTTTTCTCCCTGTATCTTAGCAGTTTCCTTTAAAAGTCTAAAAATTTCCAAGTTGTGTTCCCACAAATACCCCACTTTTGACCTGTGCTGTTACTTTAGTGGTGTAGTTTGATTGTTCCCTTAAATTCCTTTTGAAAATTCTGAGATTATCCTAATTTTCTGCAATAAACTTTCATTGGTGAGCAGTTCCGTGCAATTTCAACTGGCTGAAGGCTGCAGGGTTTAAAGTGTTTAGTGGTGGATAAGAGCTGAGGACAGAGCCAAATTTGCAGACTTCATGAAGTTACTGGCCACAGGGTCCTCCCCTCCCAGCTTAGGCTGCTTTACAGGACAACACTGAGATTTAGCAAGAGGTTTAATTTTCCCCCCAAATCTCTAGAATACAGTATCCTGGTGTCTTTTTGTTTGATAATAGGATATGTCAAAACCTGCTGAATAGAGTGCAATTATTTTTTATTTTTATTTATTTTGTGTGCGTGTGTGTAGATCTGGATCAGTCTTTTATGTCCTGTGTTTTCCTCCTCTCTTGTTCTTCTGGTGCCGTCATTATCTCCCCTGGTCACTGATGAGATTGGCTAATGTTAGGGAATGCAGCGGTGGCTGATGTTTGCTTCTGCCTCTTCATGTCAGTACCTGACAGGCTCCTTCTGGTGAACACATCCATAATTGACTGACTGGATCAAGCTGTTTGCCAAACTGACTGGCGAGCCGGTGGCCAGATATCTTACGGAGTGACTGACTTTGGATTACAGCATGTTGTTTTTATAATAAAACAACTCTGTCTTTATGTTAGTCCCAGACATGACTCATGACAGACGGCAGTATGACTGCACAAAGAGTAGCGTTGATGGCAGATACACCTTCATGTCAGATCTCTAATATAATAATCACATGCATTTTAAAACTCAAGACAGTTATAGTGATAAATATCAAACGTTTTATTGTCTGAACTCTGGACTAATGAGGTGAGCTGTTGAAGGTGGACACTGATGGCTAAACCCAGTGTTCAGGCCACAGCAGTTCAGGAGTCAGATGAGCCACTTGTTTATGGATTCTCAGGTGTGTTGAGTGTGAACGTGGCTTCTTCTGAGCTTCCTGGAAGCTGAAAAGAAACCTTGACTTGTGGTGGAATCTGATGTTCATTCCCACTGATATTTACAGAGCTCACATTCCACCATCCTTGTGCAAGATAACTGCTCTAAGTGTGATAGGGACATGTGTGTGTATCTTTCAGAGGTGTGCACTTATGGATCCACACCCTATCCTGCAAAGTGTTAATTACCATTTTTACAGCATACCATTTACTGTAATTTTAGACTAAGCATCATATACACAGACTGAATTCATGTCTTATCTCACCAGAGCTGTAACAATTAGTAGATTAATGAATAATTTGTTGTATTGATTAAGCAAAAACTTCCTAATTTCAAAAGTTCCAGCTTCTCAAATGTGATGCTGCTTTTCTTGATTTCATATCATTGTAGATGAAATATCTTTAGGTGTCAGACAAGCCATGTAATGACATCACCTTGGGCTCCCGAACACTGCGATGGGCATTTTTAGCCACTAGATTGATGGCTTTAGGGATGGCAGTCTTGTTTGTTGACACTACTTTGATCCTGACTGAAATATCTCAACACCCACTGGACCGTTGCCCACGATTCTGCCTACACTTCTCTCCTTATTGTCTCATTCGTGAAGTGAACTTCTCATTATACACAGAAATACACAGAGCAAAGTCGAATTTGCGGGAATCCTGTGTATGCATGTGTCAAACAGCCGTCTTGACACCAGTAACAAACAAAATCTCTCTGTACCTCCACAAACAATCATTTTGTCTATCAGATGATCTTAGTCACTTGCTAATGTCCACGATAACCCACCCTCCCTACACTGCTGCTATAAATGTTAATTGCTTCCATAAGGGAAGTGGTGGAATGTCTTGTGTATTGGACTTCCTGGTGTATTTGCCGTCCTCGGTGGGCTTTTACTCTGCGGCGGTCTGGGACAAAGAGACGGCGCCTGAGCTCTGCTGGGAATACAGATCTGCACACATTATGTGGCAAAACTCCTAATGCATATAGTCAATCTGGGAGCGAAAAATGGTGCTAGGTTGCAAAAACCAGTGTGAACCACTTGACCATGTTCAAGTGTCTCACAGACTTTTTCTTGAGTGAATGTAAATCAATGGCCTGACTGTTTACACTCTAATAGAGCGGCAGCAGTCGCGTCATGAATTGTTGCAACATACATGCTAAGGATCAAGTTTATGTAACACTCAAGTTGCTGCTGACAAATTATGTCTGTGTGTTTACTCACACTTAAACACACACTGATATCTTTGCCAAACTCATGTCTTAATGGCTCCAGATACCCAGATATTTTTCCTGCCTCCAGGGTGCTATTGAGGTCTCCTGGTATTCAACAGTATGTGGTGCATACTTCTTGTTTATCACCCTCGTCGTTCTCATGACCCTTTGCTGTATATCTATATATATATTTTTGTGGCATTAAAATAACTCAAATGTTGCACACAAAATCGCCCAAAGGTGTGAATTTTCAAACCTGACATCCTTGCTCGCCAGAGGGCTGTGCAGACCTCCCACTCACATTTGAGGTAAACGAACATCAATTAATCTGATTAAAAATATTTTGACATCTGTAAGAATGTTTGATTTATGCTGCTACTTTCTAGTTAAGCCTGAAATGGGAAACTATGTGTACATAAAGCCCTAGAATGCAGCTGCGTGAGCTACTCCCATTGGCTTTGACTGTAGCACTCACTCTGTGTCCTCAGATCCTGCTACAGTACAGCACAGCATGTTCTGATGCCGTTTTAGTTTTGTCTCTGTGCCTCTTAAAGGATAAGGGCCATCATTTTCTATATTAACTGTCTTCAACACTCCCCATACAGAGACTAAAACCAACAGTGATTTGTCTCTACTCACTGTTGATGTCTGTGACTGTCCTGCTTGTCCGTCTGTGCCTTAGACATCCATTGTTGATCAGAAACAATTAAAGACACACCAGGGAAACACGCCACTGTACTCGGTGACGTATTTCCTCATTACAAAACAAAAGACACTGATATTTCTTAAAAATATCCAGAGATCTCGTGCAGGGGCCCTTGAACCTTGCTTACTCTTGTATTATCATACTCTTAAGGTCAATTTCTTCATAATTCAGTTCCCCTGTGGAGGTTTTCCTTCCCCCATTTCTATGTGATGTCTTTTTAAAATTATTTGAAAGAGACAGGCTATTCATCCCACTCTAAGTTTTTTTTTCCAGGATGTCACACAGATGCAGTATAACAGACAAATCAAACTCTGTTCAACTTCACAACTTCTTAAGGAACATCCTGATATTATATTGAGGAAATTCCAGATATGAAAATATTCAAAACTTTGAACAGATCAGCCTTGAGTCTAGACATGCTAGATTTTTACAGATTTAAATAATTCTTAGCATCCTAAACTCCTCGTTTACAATGTGCTCTTTCAGCAGCTCTCTCTCCCTTGAGGTCCTCACTGGATAATGACTGTTTCCTGCCAGGCAGCCTCTCTGTTCACTTGTTGTGGATGCTTGTGTGTGTTGTGCTTTGTTTCTAGATTGCTACAGTGTGTAATTCTATATATAGTATATAAAGGAGATTGGGGTTTTGTAAATTAAAGGATTGCTGAATGTAACTCCCCTCTTCCGTTTATCGCTGAACAAGTGTGAGATTTTGAGGTCTGTGGCATATCTAATTATATCTAAGCTGAGAAACCACGGACATGTTGCCGAGCTAAATTGTTTAGTCCAGCATGGACACGGAGTGCTTGTTAGTTTACTCAGCTGTGAGCTAACAGGGTTAACATCCTATCATTTTGGCTCAGCCTGTTGGAGATGAAGCAGCTTTACTTCAAAACATGATGGCTGAACATGGAATATCTGAATTTATAATAGCTTACAGACAGGGGTAGATCTTGAAATTGGAGTGGCCAGGCTGAGGCACCGACTCAGTGAGGGGTGGCACGTTTGAAATACATGTAAGAAGTAAATGAAACCCCCAGTTCTATGAAATGGTAAACCATACATTATTGAGAATCAAACAGTTTATTTTGTGTAAAATTCAGACTCAGTGCTTTCTTTATTTAACTTCTCTTGCTCCTTATTTACTCAGAACATCGCTGCTGCACAGTGGTTAAAGCCCCCACTGAGGAGACTCATGCCAAGTACTCCACAACATCACAACTGAAGAAATGAATGCAAATATCATGCTGCATGCATTACAGGTATCAGAATATAACTGTGAGCGAGGAAAACTCCAAATGTCTATGGCAATGGTCAGTCCTTATGACACTATGGTCACCTTGGTGTGTCGGCCAGAACACCACTTAAGGCCCATACATTCCAAGAATGAATCAGGTGCTTGAAGTTGCAGTTAACGATCCTTTAATCCAATTTCTCATACAAAGATTACATGTGGGTGTGGTTTTCCTGCAAATAATATAGATACAAATACAATGAATAAGGATTTAAGATATATGCACCTTATAAGCACATTACCGTATGCATAAGTATAA